ATTGAATTAATTTTATTAGATAGCTAGTTATTTATATATTTTTGAATTGAGTTAGGTTAATTTATAAAAGTTACGAATGAAATATCATTAGTTGTATTTATGTAGTGTTTCTGTAAATGTTAAAAAATTCAATTATGGTATGGAACCGAACCCGAACGGTTCCATAATTATATTTGGACCCGACGAGTCCATTTATTAAATACCCAAAAGTTTTGGGTACCAACCCACGGACAGATCTATTATGGACAGTAGGTGAGCATTTTTTCCCTGTACGGGTGAGATCAGATCGGAATAATAGAATTTCGGTTGGTTTCTTTATTAAATGTATCGATTTCGAGATTGCGTCGAGAATCGATCGGTTCGGTGTGATTCTTAGTTCTGCCTCAATAATCCATGGGAAATCGATTCTCTTGAATTTCTCTTCTTTTTCACATTCCATATGCTTCTTCTTCTTTCTTTTACAATAAAATCTAATGGATAATCAACATTTAAATTTAAATAATTTTATAAATACTTTACAAAAATTTATGGATTTGCAATCTAATAAGAAAAAAATGTATTTTTAGTTTAATTTTTCGTGGGAACTCAAATTTCTTGTTGTTTTCGAAATGGTCGATCAAAATCTTCTCCTTGAAGATTATTAAAGTCTCATGCACGATTTTGATGATGAAAGAAGTAAGGAATCATCTTTTCGGCTCTGTCTCTCCCACTTCAGTCGTTACTTTCTTTTTGCTACTTCGAAAGCAGTTGCTTCTGCTTCAACCACTCATATTTTCAATATTCCAACACGATCTTTCAACAAATAGTTTGATACTTATTTTTATAAAGTTTCATATAAAAAACTGGATCGAACCAAAGAGAATGAGTTGGTTTGATTTCGGTTCAATTATATATTTAGATATGAAATCGGCGGTTCTATTTCTAATATTCACATGTGTACTCGATTCGATTCTATTCGGTTCCTTTCGAAATCGGATCGAATCGAACTGCACCCACTCCTTCGTCAAAAACAAATCGGACCAAATGTCGGAAGGAATATTTACATAAATAGCACTCTTTCAGTAACTATCTGTATTATTTATCTCAGTCGGCTATTTGCCGTTTGGTTTTGGTAAAAATTAAGCTTTGATAAAAGTCAGTAAAGTTTGTGATTAAAAAGTATGTAATTAAAATTAATTGTTGAGTTTAACATAAATTTTAGTAATTTATTTTATCTGAACGAATCAGGAACTAAATATTATTTTTTGCATCTTGAAAGTGAAAATATTTTATTACCCTTCAGTAAAATAAGGAGAATTTATATGTATGCAAAGTGTGAATGAAATTTCACTTTCTTTTTTCTATGATCAGCAACATCATTCATTAGTACTATCACCTTCGTACGTAAAATAATTCGAACATTCTCAAATTTGTATTTAAACTAGTTTTTGCCCCGTGCAATGCACATGCTGTGTTATTTTTAAGGTAATATAAGTACCTTGAATGCTAAGATTAGATGAAAGATTGTATTACAAAATTTTCATAC